GAGCTCTAGGATAGGCATTTCTCATTGGTCATTCTCCGCGGGAACCATCCTCTCGTCTGAAGATGGGTTATAATATGAACCCTTTTTAAGGGTTTTATTTAGGCGGGATGCAGAGCAGGTGGATTTGATGTGGCTGAAAAAAACTCTTCCATGCCTCTCTCTGACGCCATCTAATATCCTTGTTCGCAGTCGGCTATAGCTTTGGTCATCTTTGCCTTATTGAACCGCATGCCCAAGTAAGTTTTCTGATTTTCAAGCGCCCTGCAACACGTCAGACGGGTATTCCTGCTCAAATGACTCCATAATGGAGTTGGTAAGAAGATCTACTTTGTCCTGTAAATAGGCAGGACGAGCCGCCCCCCAAAAGAGTGTTCTCTAATTTTTTCCCTAAGGAGATGTTTGTAAAGGGAACTATATCAGCAGAGTTGGACTGGGTCAAGCATAGAGTGACCCAGTGACCCGGTGACCCAGTTAGTTTACTGACCCAGTGACCCAGTGACACGGTGACCCAGTTGACCCGGTGACCCAGCTTGATCCGGTGACCCAGTTTGACCCAGTGACCCAGCTTGACCCGGTGACCCAGCTTGACCCGGTGACCCAGTTTGACCCAGTGACCCATCTTGACCCAGTGACCCATCTTGCTTTACTCAGTGACCCGTCTTGACCCGGTGGCCCAGTAATTAAATTATTGTTAGGTATCATCCAAAACAATTCAAGTAACTTTTAATTTTAAAAAAAACTTCCTCAATAATATTCGGCAACAAGCACGTAGCCCAATTTCATTCAAGAGAACTAATACCTAAAAAAATCAAATGCATTTGTTTATAGTTTGTAGTCAAGTAGTCAATGAAAGTATTTAGAGAAAAGATTTATTTGGATTAAGCTAACTAGTAGAAAAAAATTAAATGTGAATGAACACCTGTAAGCAAACTGGTAAGCCCTGAAGCAAAGAAATAACATTATTCTAATACAATTCGGGACATGGAAAGTTTTTTACGGCAGTATTAAAGCAAACATCACAGAAATGGCAGTTGTCAAGCAATCGAGTATTATTTTCAACAAACCAGCATTTCATTTATTTCATAATCTGTATACTTGAACCGAGGGCACTGACTTAACTGCGTTATTCGATCAAACTAGGTGACTGGGTCGAATTGGGTCCCCGGGTGAAATTTGGTCGCTGGGTCAAACTGGGTCACTGGGTCAAACTGGGTCACTGGGTTAAACTGGGTCAAGTTGGGTCACTGGGTCAAACTGGGTCACTGGGTCTAACTGAAAAGAGTATGACGTGACCCAGCGACCCAGTGACCCAGTTGAATTTAGTGACCCAGGTGACCCAGTTGACCCAGTGACCCAGTCCAACTCTGTATATCAGTTATCTAGGGGTTGCAATAACCCTTTTGAACGGCTCCCTTGCAGTTAATTGTGCTCATAGTTATAGACATAGACGCTTCTGGAGTGACTTGCTAGTTTGTTATCCGGTCCGATATACTTGATGATGCTAGACTGAGATCAATCACAGTCTGGCTTCGGGGGTTCGCTGCCCTGATTGAGAATCTCTAGATTAGTCAGTCAGTCAGTTAGTGAGTCAGATATTCAAGTAATGATTTGCTCCCTCAAGTAATATAATGAACATTTGAGTCACATCCTCAAAGGCGATGGTTCTTTTTGTACCCCAAGACTATAGAAACCCTTGATTTAAGAACCCAGGGTCCTTGAATAAGGTCAATGTCCTGCTTACCAATTCATCGTTTATCGGCCGTTGTTAGAATCACACCCCAGCAGCGCCTCAATATTCGCAAATTGAGCTGCTAACACTGGACCAAGCAGTGACCACGGGTTGCCTTGACGGCCTGGGCGGTAATGCTTCCGAAGCTTCTTGAAGTAGTCCGCTGCTGGTGTTGTTGTGATGGTTGTACTGACGGATTCCCCACCTAAGGTTCGGCAGGGTTACTAACCTTCATCTTTAGATAGGAAAACCCATAACCGAGCCTTCCTCCCCTCGCGATTAGGTTAGCTTGGTCCTTTTCCTCAATGCCGATAACATCAGCCTCTCTTGAAGTTGATCTTTCACAGCTGTGTGGAAGACTGCCTAAGTTTGCTCAGGTATTCTGCACCTTCAAGCGCCGCTTGACTGCAACCACGTCGTCAGATTCCCCCAGGACCCTCCTTGCGGAACCTCCCAAACTTGTGTTGACAAGGAGGCCTTCAACCACTCATGGGAATTGGTTGTTCTCGCACGATATTCTTAGGATCGCGCCCGAGTACCTCCAATCCCAGAACGTCGGTGTTACTGTAACCTTGGGCAGGCGATTTTGCACCATATCCGCCTGGTTAGCGGTTAGCCTACCCATAGGGTTGTGGCATACATAATCTCTACCTGGAGTTGCAGCTTGCTTGTAGCTACTGCGCGGTGCTACACCCGCCCTTGGTTGGGGCTGTGGTATACACTTCTTTGTAGGCGGTTGGGCCGGTGTTGTCATCAGACATCTGTTCCTTTTTGTTTCCGCTTGACTTTTTGCCGCCTGATCGGAGTTAGTTCTAGGAGCCTGCCTCTGTGTCAGAGTTGAGTCACGGGGGGTGGATGTTTAAAACTGACTAAAGTCTCTCTATAAGGCCTTATGACTCTCGGGGGTGTTTAAAGGCTTTTATAGCACTGTTAAGAATCTCTAGGAAGTTTTGAAAGCGCTTAGGGTACAATTAGTGAAAGACGTTCCTCGAATGCAACCTGCTAAAGGTCTTTAAGGGCCCTCAAAGGCTGTTACAAGATTGTTCGAAGCTCCAAATGTTAATAAACGGGTACGGACGCCATACAAATTTTTTTGCGGTTAAAACACGTGGTGGACCTGGACAGTAACGGCCCTTAAAACTAACATAGCCCTCCTTGTAGGTTTTCAATAGCTGCGTGTATTATTATTATCATTATTATTACACAATTCGTAACATAATTATTATCAGTGTGCTCGCGTGGTCAGCGTTTCTAGATGTTGGATTGTAATAATTGGTCCAGAGCCAAAGTCTGTCAGTGACCACGGGGGGTGAGGATCTTCTTCTAGGTGTTATAAAAAATAATGAAATCGGAAGAAGTTGATGTTCATGTGCCAATAGAAGGAATTTGGTAATTTTTGCAGTATAAGGAATAAATATCTAAAGAAATAGAAGAAATAAAACTGAAAGAATTAAGAATTAAAACGAGTACACGAAATAGTAGTCAACACAATATTTATGAAAATGAAACATAAAAACATATGGAGGTTGTTGAGGAAGAAAAAAAAACAAAAAAATAAACGAAGAGATAGAAGTGCTGAATTGATAGGTTTACAGGAATCAGATAAGAAGTGGGTGCTGAGTAAAAGGACAGCACTTAGAGACTAGCGTGACAGAAATAGGCACAGAATGCAACATGAAGATTGAAAAAGAACGAGATATTTAATTGGAAGACAGTCCAGATCATGTTGGTTTATGGAAGCCACAAGGGGGAGAAATATAACGAAAGAGAGCGGAGAAAATAAGCACAAATGAAAAGAAAAACACTTACAAAGATAGGTGATAACCAAAGGAAGCTAAAAATAGAAAATAGTTAATGGAGAAGTAGGTGAAGTGGAAGAAAAATGCCGTTATACGGGAAACGGGAAAATAATTGGAGGTGGCAGAGGGGTGGCAGCGGTAAACCGAAGGATGAAAATGCGAACTGTGTAGAGGATGTGAGAATCGGTAAGTTAGTGTAAAAATATTCCAAAAACGTAGTGATAATAAGGGTCCAAATCGTGACAAGTGTAACTTTTACCCGATAGGGAAATACGGTTGGTAATGGACTGGAAAAATAAGATAAAATAAACTAAAATGAAAATAGAGAGGTAAGGAGAGGGAAAGAGAATGACCAGGACGAAAAGGAAGTTCAAAGTAAAACAAAAATGGAAAGAAAAGGGACAGAAGAAAAGAAGAAACATAGTGTAATGAAACATTGAATATGAAAGAAGACAAATAAATAAAATTCAGCAACGAATGCAACCGAGGGAGGGAGAAGACGTTGTAGGGTTTGCAGGGGAGCTTAGAAGAAAAAGAACGAAATTTAAAAAATAGCAAAAATGTGAACAAGATGAGAAAAATGGCATGTGCGAATGAGGAAAATACTAAAATGATGGCGGGAAAACCAAAAACCGAGCCCGCGCGAAGGAATTGTTAATGAAAAAATATGGTAGAAGGCTAAGTAGATGGATTAGAAAAGATAAATTTGGAAGAAAAGGTAGAAAGGGAGGCATTTGGAAAAGGAGGAGCAATGAATCAGACAATTGGACAGAAAACAATTGATAGGAAATGGTGAGCGAATGGAATGAAAGAAGAAGGTTAGGGCTATACACAAAGTTCGACCTTAATATGGCAGCGGAAGGAGAATTATACACGGGGGGAGCGGAGAAAAAGAAGAAGCGATAATCGAAGAGGGTGAGAAGCGGATTGAATCAGAAGAAAAATTACGCGAAGAATGAATACCTAATACAGGAAACATGTGTGGATAGCGTGGAAGAAGAGGAGGGTTGTGTGGAAATTACAAAAGTAATGGAGTGCGTGTGTGAAGAACTTGCGGGAACTTTTTAGGGAAAGCAGCAGGACAAATTACTAAGAATTGAAAATTTGAAGGAGTCGAAGAGAACGAATGAGCTGGGAGATACAGGACAATTGTTTGAAGGGTTGTGCATGGAAATAAGGAGAACCTAAGGCATCAACTTTAATGTAGGTAATCACAGCAAAATACATATAATTAGAAGGCAAAAGAGCAAATGCCAGTTTTAGTTAATGACCGAAAATGCACAATTAATGGATGGCCACAGGCAAGGTTGGTCGGAATGATTCAAAACGACGAGAAAGATTGATTTTTAGTGGTCAGGATCATCAAACCACAGTTACGTTTAATTGCGTTGACTAATCGACCCTTTGTAAATGAATTGGGAAAGGCAACCGGTCATGCATTAATTGCAATTTGAAAACCCAGACCCCGGCAGAGTATAAAATGCGAGGAGACTAGACGATGGATATCATTTCCTTCCTTTACCATGGCTCTTAAGGTAAATAACATTTTTTGAGATTGTTTGATCACGTTTCCGTTTTAGGTTGTCATATTCTTCGCATTCGTCGCCGCCGTGAGCGCCGGGCTCATTCCTTCGGCACTCAAGATTGAGACGCCGGTCATTGCTTCACTTCCATCAGCGATTAAGTACGAAATTCCCCCGACCTCAAGAGTTGAGCATCTTCCACCAGTGATCACCACCTCTTACGGCTACTCCACCCTGCCGCTCAAGCACGAAGTCGTCGCGCCGGCCGTCAAGATTGAAGCCGCACCAGTCGCTGTTGCCGCCGCACCCCTCACCACCCACGTGGAAATCCCAGCAGTATCACGTGTCGAGCATTTGGCACCCGCCGTCGCATCCACCTACAAGACCGAAGTGATCACTGCACCAAAGGTCCACGTGACCCACACTCCCGCCGTCCACAGAATCGAGCACTTCGCACCGTCCATCAAGGCCGAGGTGATCTCGCCTGCCGTCGCACACGTCGCCCCATTACTTAAAAGTGAACTCCTTGCCGCCCCCGCCGTCAAGATCGAAACTCCCGCAATCGCCACCGTCCAACACCTGGCACCAGCCGTGTCACACCTGAGAACCGAGCTGCTCGCATCGCCCGCCATCAAAGTGGAAACCTCGCCTTTGATCCACCTCCATACGCCGACTGTGGCCAGGATTGATCATCTGGCCCCCGCCGTCCATTTCGCGCCAGCCCTGAAATCGCATATCATCGCCGAGCCAACTTTGAAATTCGACCTTGACCACCACCATTTACTTAAACACTTGACCTTCTAAATGTGAACCGTTTGTAAAAACAGGCCAAATAAATACTTAATTTGAGTAAATACTAGTATTTTGATATTACAAAAACACCCAGGTTTCAATCAGATCCCGTTGTAATAGACGCGAAAGCTAAAGTAACCAAAGAGATAGAAGAAGTTCTTGTAGAAGCTTAATATTCCGAAGAAGCAGAAGAACCCTAGTAAACCCAGGAAACCAAAAATGTCAAAAGTGCCTACGATACCGGCGGATCAAGGGAGTGGAAAGTGAAAAAGCGAAGGAAAGTGAAAATGCTGAAGGGGCCAGTTGAAGGAGTCGAAAAAACCGAATAACTAGTGCTAACACCGAAGAAATTGAAAAAGGCGAAAAAGACACAGAGACCAAAGAAAAAAAATCGAAGGTGCCGGTGACGCTAGCCAAAAGAACAAAAATGAAGAAACCGAAGGGTTTGGTCAACGAACTGATGAATCAGAAGATACACAAAAGAACCTGAAGAAGTCGAAGTAGCCAAATCATCCGGATGAGGAGTGGAAAAAATCGAAGAATCAAAAAACCAAGGTCCCACAGAAATTGATAAAGCCGAATGTGCCGAAGAAACCAATGAAGTTTCAGAGGTACCGAGGGGCCGAAGGTCCGCAAATGTCAAAGGTACTGAAGAAGCTAAAAAATCCGAAGGGAACCTGGAAGGAGAAGTCGAAAAAAAACGTAGGAGACGAAAACGTGGAAGGAACGGAAAACGTTGAAAAAACAGAAGGAGTCGAGGAAGAAGTCGAAAAAGTATCACACCCCATTCAATGCAAGAAATAATAAACTAAACAAATATAGAAAACGAGTTCCTGGGTATGGCTATAGCATGTGCAAAACCAAATTTTAAACCTGATGTTAGTTTTACTTTTATTTAAAGTGTATATGTATGAAATTTCATTTAATTGCTTCCATAAATAAGAAAGCCGGCACTGCACATCCTACACAAAACCAAATTTAGAAAATGGCGCTACATTTGCTTTTATTCCAAGTGGCTAAGTATCAAATTTCATTTGAATGCCTCCATAAATAAGAAAGTCGGCACTGCACATCCTACACCAAACCAAATTTCAAAAATGGCGCTACATTTGCTTTTATTGTAAGTGGCTATGTATCAAATTTCATTTGAATGCATAAATAAGAAAGTCGGCACTGCACTACCTACACAAAACCAAATTTGGAGAATGGCACTATATTTGCTTTTATTCCAAGTGGTTATGTATTAAATTTCATTTGAATGCCTCCATAAATAAGAAAGTTGGCACTGCGCATGCGCTAAACCAAATTCGGAAAATGGCACTACATTTGCTTTTATTCCAAGTAGCTAAGTATCAAATTTCATTCGAATGCCTCCATAAATAAGAAAGTTGGCACTGCACATCCTACACAAAACCAAATTTGGAAAATGGCACTATATTTGCTTTTATTCCAAGTGGTTACCTATGTGTCAAATTTCATTTAAATACCTTCATAAATAAAAAAGTTTGCAATTCGGTTTATAAACACTGTGAATGTTGATCGATTAGGCTCAAATTTTGGAATTGCGTTTTATATGGCTAAAGCTATACGCATATTGAATTTCATTCAATTCGGTTCATAACTCACGGAGATGTCAAAAGGGCCTTCCGTATTTTTTAGGCTACATTGCCAATTCACGAACTCCGATCTACAAATTTAATCGGTAATCGGTCCATTCGTTATCGTGCTAACGGACGGACAGACGAAAAGACACGTCAATATTATAAACTCGCTAGGAGCTCTTTAATAAGATACAGTATGGAATTAGGTCGATTTACGTATGTGCCACCACCTGGACCATGAAAAGCGTCCATCACCACGCTAATGGCGCTGTCAACTCAGCACTTGGGCAATTGACTATTATATTAAAACATTATTTTATTTAATTGCATAATAAAAACATTATTGTTATTATTATATCACAACGTTTTAATTATAATAATTAAATTCCTGGTTATTACACAATACCAAGTGACGTCACATAATGGCACGCTGAACACAAAGCGAAAGAAGAAAGAAAGGTAAAGAAAGCAAACTAATTTGTATAGAAGCTGAAGAAGCTACAATTAAACCGATAGGTGCCTTAGGAGACAGTTTTTGAAGGAAGAAACATTGTGATAAAACAGCCGTAGCAGTTAAATAACAAGGGAGAAAGAAACCAAAGAATACCTGAAGTCTCTAGTCTAAGAAGTCACCAAAAATGGAAGGAGCCTCAGAGTCACGCATAAGAAGTCGAAAATGTCCAGCAAAGTTGATAAAACTAAAGGTGCGGAAGATGTCAAAACAGTAACCGAATTAGATTCAGAAGAAGTGAATAAACCAAAGAGCCGAAAAGACAAGAGGAAGGTGCGGAAAAAGTGAAAAAAGTCGAAGAAACAGAAGTAAATGAAATCGAATGAGTTTCTGAAGAAAGCGATTAAGTGAGAGGATCCAAAGAAGCCGCAGAGGGCAAAGATGCTTAAACAATAAAAGTGGAGCCGAAGAATCCACAAAATTTAAACATGCCAAAACTGCCGAAGAAACGGAAAGGTGGCGCTAAAAAAATCCAAAGATACTGTTAAAGAAGTCGGGAGATCTGAAGAACGTTAAGAAACCGAAGCGGAAGAAAACCAAGGAGAATCCGGAGAATCAGTGGCTAAAGTCGAAGAAGCTGAGAAGGTAAACAAGACAAATAAGAAGTCGAAAATGTCCAGCAAAGTTGATAAAACTAAAGGTGCGGAAGATGTCAAAACAGTAACCGAATTAGATTCAGAAGAAGTGAATAAACCAAAGAGCCGAAAAGACATAGAGCTCGAAGGTGCGGAAAAAGTGAAAAAAGTCGAAGAAACAGAAGTAAATGTAAATCGAATGAGTTTCTGAAGAAAGCGATTAAGTGAGAGGATCCAAAGAAGCCGCAGAGGGCAAAGATGCTTAAACAATAAAAGTGGAGCCGAAGAATCCACAAAATTTAAACATGCCAAAACTGCCGAAGAAACGGAAGGTGCAGGTGGCGCTAAAAAAATCCAAAGATACTGTTAAAGAAGTCGGGAGATCTGAAGAACGTTAAGAAACCGAAGCGGAAGAAAACCAAGGAGAATCCGGAGAATCAGTGGCTAAAGTCGAAGAAGCTGAGAAGGTAAACAAGACAAATTAATCGCAGTGATCCCAGAAGCCGAAGAAGTTAAAGAAACGGCAGAGATCAAAGAAATTGCAAAATCAAAAACATAAAACCGAAAAATAGAAGGATCTGCGGAAACCGAAGATTTTCTGAAGCAATGGGGCAACGAAAGAAACTGAAGGTCATGAATCTAAGCAAGTCAAAAAAGTGAAAAAATTCCAAAAAAAAGAGGAACCGAAGAACCTTATGTAGAACACTGTAGAAGTGAGACAAGCGAAAAAAATTTATTAACAGTCTCCCTATGGCACATTCAAAATTATTGACTACTAGCGGTCCGGCGAACTTTGTACCGCCCTTAAATAATCCCGTTTTTCCCGTACCCCGTTCCCTGTTTCGGTGGGAACTCCGGGAAGTCTCCTTAGTACACTTTAATACCTTCAGAGAAACCTACGCTCTAAATGTCAAGTCTGTTTCGACTGTAACACATAAAATCATATTTTTCCTGTTCCAGTTCCCGTGGGAATTTCGTGTTTCACTACATCAGATACTTCCGTGGGCATACGTAATTGGTACGTTTGACCGTCTACTTTTTCTCGCCTGAAATTGAAGTAGTAGAGACTAAAGTCACTAAATATAGAAAGTACCGCTGTTTCGTCCCATTGTAATTTTAATTTTTCCTTAGCATTTCGTTTGTCCTATTTTCCACTTTACTTCGTTACCCTCCGTTTTCCCTTTCCAACTTACTTAAAAGCAAACATGCGCGGAGAAGGGGGGAATCGAGAAGGGCAGATTGGAGGGACAACGCGCTAGAAAACCACAGAGTTCGGTCGAAATTAAGAAAAGGCACAAGCCACCAACTGGTGTTCCTTTTTTATTAGTTCGTCCTGTCAACCTCAGTTTTACAGTGAGCCGCTCTTACCGGTCCGCCAAGAAATACAATATAATTCATTCATACTACACATTAATTTTTGTTGTCATTATATAAAGTAATAAATAGTTTGTTTACGTATATTTCTTTTCAATTTCGTTTTTAGACAAGGCACGAGAAAGATTCCCTTTCATCATACAGTCCACTTAATCGTTCATTTATTAATCCTTTGTACCAGCGCGGAACAACCGCAATCCGTTGGGCTCGTGTGTTAGAGAGAGAACGCATGATTTTTTCCCAAAAATGGCGAAAGTTACCAGATTCTAGTAACTTTAATGTTAGGGTTTGTTCCACCTGTTTGGAGATATCTGTATATATTTTTATCATTGAACTATATACTCTGTAACGAGTATATAGTTCAATGATTTTTATAAAACATGACAGTACTATGAAGTTAGGTTATAAAAAATTACAGTTATTCAGATTTTATTTGTCAATTTTTTTAAATTGGCAGCAAATTTGCCCAAAAATGGCGGATGATTGCGGTACTTTCTATATATCTAGTGACTTTAGTAGAGACCTCGCTTTGTCGCCATCTATTAGTTATATTGCGATTTAAAATGGCGAAACAGAGATAAATGTTTTTTTATGTGCCCGTACAGTTTTTTTGGAAATAACTTTATGATTGTGCTTAGAAAATGCAAAATCTTTGGCTTACTGTAAAATTTTGTTATGAAACATTGGATTCTGTAGATTCTTTGTCCGTTTTATTCTTTGGATTCCTTAAAATGTTTGAATTCAACCATTGGTAACCACGGAAGCTCCAAAATATTCAGAATTGTTCAAATTATGGAAATAATAGTTCTCTTTGTAATATTTCTAAACGCCTGGAAATTGTTTCGTACCTTTGAAAATCTTCGGGATCTGCGGTAGCACTGTGGGAATCTTAGAGTCCTCGGAGCTTGTAAAATTTTTAGGTCATAGAAGCTTTTGCTGCCTTTGAAGCATTACCAACATTAGGTATCTTTAAGCTACATTTCAAATCTTTGGAATATCTTTAAACACTTTGAACTTTGGGATTTTTGTAATACTTATCGATACTTTGAAATCTGCAGAGAACTTTTGTAATTGAGAATCATCAAAATTTCTACAACAGTTAGGAAGTGTCGATTGGTATTCAACCCATGAAGGAATATAATTTGAACCTCTTGTGTGTAGGGGCGCGTGAGTAGCTATGATGAACTTAAGATTTCTTAAACTTTCTATATTCCTCCAGCTCTTTCACATCTAAAAGGCACCTGAAGCATCACGGGAAACTAACAAACGATCTAAGCAACCTGGGGAATGAGCCATTGGGCCTTTGGGAGAACGATGAATAATTTTAACGTCGTTGCAACCGTTTTAAGAAGAAGACAGGTACAGTGAGCCCACCTATTACAACTGCTGCAAACGAGGCAATTAAGCTATTATTGTTAATAGTTCTATTGTTTAACGTCTAATTACGCGCTGATAATTAACAAACAAATTATTTTCCAATGTTCAGTCGTTAATTACATTTGGCAAAAGATGCTCTTCAGACAATGGAATCTGAAAGGCAGAGCGTTGCAGTATGTCGCGTTGTGCTCAGGTGAAAGAAGACATTGCAATCCGAAAATCACTCTTTCGTTTTCAGGAGCTTGCGTCATCCTTTCCGACGGTTTGCAGCTGGGATGGCCGGCACCGTATCTACCGCTGCTGCTAAGCGGCCAGTCGGCGTTCCGAATAACCGACGAGGATGGTTCCTGGATAGCGATATCAAACATGATCGGGGGATTTTTGGGAGCCGTCGTGTCGTGGCTGACGTTGGATGTGTGCGGGCGTAAGCCCCTCGTCGTCTTCACATGTATCCCGCACGTGGTGTCGTTGCTGATGCTGGCGTACGCAGGTAGCACGTGGCAACTGTGCGTTGCCAGGGTTATCGGTGGAGTTTCGGGGGGAATCGGATTCTGCACGGTGCCGCTATACCTATCCGAAATCGCGGACGCCAACGTCAGGGGTTTCTTCGTATCAAGCTTGGATCTCATTCACAAGCTCGGCATTCTTGTGGTAAGCATCGCTGGGACCCACATCAGCATGGCGACATTTTCGTTCGTTGCCTTATCGATTCCCGCATTTGTGTTCCTGACGTTCCTGTGGATGCCAGAAACTCCTCACTATTACGCTCTTAAAGGCGAGTGGGAAAGTTCCCGGCGCAGTTTGGAAAAGATTAGTGGAAAGACGGACGTAGAAGACAGGTTGTGCCATATTTCGGCGACAGTCGCCGAGTTTCACCAATCGAAAGGTACGTTCGTGGAGTTTTTAACCAATCGGGTTAGTCGACGAGGAATCTACGCACTGTTGGTGCTGCGTGGAGTGCAACAGTTTAGCGGCATCATCGCGATAACCTTTTACCTTCCGGTAATTTTGGAGAGCGCCAAGGATTTCGTGTCTCCAAATGCGTCCACAGCCGTTTACTACTCGTTGCAGATTCTAACCACTTGCGCGACGACGGTGGCCATCGATCATCTGGGACGGAAACCCCTGCTGCTTATCTCGGTGACCGTCACCAGCGTGGCACTATGCATTGTTGGCGTTTATTTTTCAGTTGCACATTGGACTAACATCAACCTGGATGGATGTTCGTGGATTCCACTTTTGGGACTGTTTCTGTTCATCGCAGGGTACAGTTCAGGTCTGAATTGCATTCCCGTGTTATTGGTCGGTGAGTTATTCCCAATTGGGGTGAAAGTGCTAGCAGCTACCGTATTTGACATGTACTTCTGCATAATGTCAAGTCTCGCTTCCAAGTTCTTCCAATACACCAAGGATGCGTTTGGCATGTACGTTCCATTTCTAACGTTCGCCGCATGCTGCATTTGCAGTTTACCAGTTATCATGCACCTCGTATCAGAAACCAAGAACAAAACCTTGGAAGAAATACAAACGGAAAGCAAATCCATGAAGTCTTGAAGAGCTTCTTGGCATGAACTTCTCAGTTCATTATCAAAAATTGATGAATACCAGTTCTTGAGCTAATTGTATACCAATTTTTAATTAAGGGCTACAACAAGCAATGGTTCTTCATCAAATTGATGGAATTATACGAAATCATTTTTTAAAATAACCTACCTATCTATTCTAATGATCTCATACGGACAAATTGGTCGACTGTCAAATAACGTTCCTCACTCCCCCTGATGGTGCGAAAGTTGTCCATAAGAATGGTCCAGGTGTGTGGCACTAACGACCAATCTTATTTCCAAGTAAAATATTGACCAAAACTCGATTCAAGACGGTTTTGTACCAGGAATACCTGTTGAGACAACAACTAAGGAAACCGTTGGGGTTGCCGAAGATTTACTGCATTATCCCCTAATAAAAATCCCAGTGGTTGGTCAAGTGTTCGAAAGTACAATATTTTATATTAGGGTCTGCTCCCCCCATCCCGTCAGACCGGAAAGGAAACTTGTCAGGATCACTTGGACGCTTTGGCGAAGGATGACAGTCATTTCTTAAAGATTGCTCAATCGACCAAATGTAGATGTGTGACTGAGGGCAGGAAGTCCAGAAAACGCAAAACTTAGTCTAGAAAATTGGGTCCTTGATTTGATTCTAGTTAAAGGTACACGGACCGACTAGAGAATTCCAGATTTCCCCGCCTCTGGTTGGACGCACTGGATGGTTAGCGGAGTCGTTTTTCCCAAAAATGCTGCTGGACATTTCAGTCGGGCGCTCCTGCAGCTCTATGGAGATGATCGTTTATAAACCGAACTCGCTGTAGTTTGACGTTTTTGCCACCAAACACTCGTTACTGAATAGATGCATTTAACGATTTCTCCTTGCGGTTATTTTGAGAGTAAAATTTTTTGGCTACTACTCTCCTTTTTGAAACATTAGAATATTTCCACTTTATCTTTAAATCCTTTGGACTTCGCATGACTTAAATTATTTGGGTTGCTTTGATATTAGGGTGGATTAGTACTGTACAGCATCCGTAGATTCTGCAGCATTGATGGCCATTTTCCAGAATTTTCTATAAATAATGATTTATTTACTCCATTTGTATTGCTTAGATTCCTTGAATTCCTTTAATGTACTTTTTACACTCCTTAGATTCCATGGGACTTCATGAATTATTTGGATTTTTTGTACCCCTTGAGCTTCTTGAGATTCTTAGGGTTCTCGAATTCCTTGAATTATTTGCATTTTTTGAGTGTTTTTGATTTTTGGATTCCTCTATTTCTTTTTGGTAGTTCATGTGTTATCGCACATTGCAGATAATTAGAATCCTGAAACCTTTGGAGTCTATTGAACCTTGAAAAGTTTTTGTTGAACAATCCCAAAATTTTAAATGCTGTAGCGGCTCTAGCTCTGGCGTGTCTAAAAAAAATCTTTTTACTTCCTTTTTTAAAAAGTGATAACTGTTAATAAAATTACAAAAAAATTATCTCAAACATAATACATTTATTATGGATAAGTAGGAAAATCAGACTGCAAGCACTGAAAAAATACAAAAACCTAATTCCATAACTGAACTAAAAAAAAATATGTTGGCCAGACAGTTTAACCTAACCCAATAAAAAAATTTAACGCTTAATTCTCAATCAACAAATTCAAATTATTAATTGAATAAATTCCGTAATACGCACGAAACTTTAAAGGCAAGTTTTGATTCACTCACTGCAGTTGTAGCTTTAATTAGTACTTATTATAAACAATTAAAAATGTGACAATTTCCCCTTAAAAAAAGTTGACACGCGTCTTTCTCTTGCGAGCAAAGGTTCGTCTCTACACACGCACTGCTGTTCCAGTTACATTCTTTATTTCTCCTTATTTTTACATATTCGCGCACATACACGCCTTATCACATAAATTCCACATAAAAAATAACTCTGTTAAAGATAACGAAACCTGTTACAGGATTGTTTAGTTTAAATTCTACAGATTCTATCGATGGTTATTAGATGTTTGATTTTCCCGAATTACTAGAATTCTAGGTTTCGTTGGATCTTTTCCATTATTTGAATTCATTGCTCAAGTTATTCGTACTTTTACGGTTGCATCATTAAATCCTCAAAATTTTTAGAATGCTTGAATTATTTAGAGCCTTTGAAAACTTCTGAAAACTGAAATCTATGTACATCAAAATTTCCCAGGCTCTTTTCTGATTTTGCAGTTCCATCAGATTCCTTGTGTTACTCGCGATATTTCCAAGCATCAATCTTCTGCAGTACTCGCCATTCTTCCAAATTTACAGTACTTTTCCAATATATCGACCGACTTATGATCTTTTTTCGTTCCTCCCATTTCAATAGGGTTCGTCCAATTCTTCAGCTTCCAGCAATACTTCAAATTGTTTATTCTCTTCAGCTTCTCTCAGCTACAATTTTCTGGAATATCCAAGCTCTTCGAATTGATCGTCTCCTACTCAATTCTTGAATTCTTTTTTTAGTTGCTCTTTTACTTCAACCAATTTTCGCGAATTCCTTGTAACGTTAGCTCTCAATTCGGTTTTATTTTGTTTTTAGAATTTTATAGAGATAATGTTCAATTTTTTTGAGAATTTAAGGGTTAAAGTAGTATAATCATTACAGAAAGTATACCGGGTCTATACATTTAAAAGACCAAATTTTCCAGTACATAGCACGATTGGTGGAATCTGTAAACAGTTGATGGAATTACTACGTCACCTGAATTCTGTGAGGCATTGTATTCTTATCGATTCCGGAAACCGGGGCTGTATTAAGTCGCAGATAATAGCGTAAATCCTATCCTAATTGAGACTCCTGTAACCAAAGGTGCGCTAGTTAAGGAATTAGGTTTTCATATTTTTTAGGTGCCTTTAGGAATTTGTTTTATCGTTAAAAAACGCCGAAAACACTAAGTGAATCATTTTACCGTTTTTGTTTTCCAACTTACACAACAAACAATGGGATTATCGTGCATTTCAAGAGAATAAAAACCATGATCGCGGTGTAATCGTGTTTTTATTGCACTAAGGAAAGCCGTAGTCGTTATCAAGGACGAACCAATTCAGCGCGCCAGCATATTTTCGTTACCATAGTAGTTGTTTTCTGCTTGTGAAACCAAAGAGGTGATTGAACTCGGACAGCTCCGTTGTCTTATTTTCCTGAGTCACTATAGCTGTAAGGAGGGTTATCTCCAGCCTAATTTTGTATCATCATCCCCTACATTCATATATCAATTAGAGCTCATTGAGAGAAGCTCAATTTTTTGTGACCGTTAGAGGCACATAGACGAAACGGCATCAAGATAAAAGCGAGCACGTGCGCAAACCTTTCGAAACTTCCGATTCGCTTTCAACTTTTCCCAAAAATACATTCGGCAGATTTTCTTTACATTTTTATTAGGAAACTCGAGGAAAGGAGAAATAAGATAAGAAACATTCCTTTGAGAAGCGCCAAGTTTCATATTTTGTAAAAGCCTAAAGACGTTACCTACCCCCAGAAAAAAACACAAACTCGTCCAAATCCTTAAGGAACATAAAGGTTAAGCTAAAAGTGATAAAGCTTTCATTAGGAAATTCACAAGTCAAGAAAGCAATTTTCGTCGTAGGTTTCCAGAACGCAAAGGAAGTGAGCGCAATGAAAATTTAATCTGTAAATTGCTTTAGCTGCCGCTAGCAATAAATCTTTTTATTATTTTGTTTGCGTGGCACTTACCTTAAGCAAATTCCAGCGAGGTCTTCCGCACAGTTTAAAGGTTCATCACCATTAACTTTAATCACCCGAGTTTTAAAGGTTTCTTTCCGATTGCACGCGGCTATTTTGGCACGAGGGCACAGCGCGGCACGCACGCGGGTGAAATTTTCCCGAAGGGCGTTTTTGAAAAAGTTCCACGACGATGTCGACAATGGCAGAATTTTCCGGCACTGCAAGCACGCGCGTGCTGCTATCCGCGGAAATACTGACTATCAGCTGTATATCTTCGGAAACGTGCGGGAAAACGCAAGCGCGAAAATTTTCTTTCGGAAAACTTGCGGTCGACACGCGTCGAAAATAATTTTTTTTGAGACAAATTTGAAAATGTAGCTCCGGGAAAGGCAGCCAGCGCGGTTTGAGGAGAAAAGCTAACGATTGATCTTGGGCCACGTGCTCTCGGTTGGTAATGAATTGCTCTTTGTAAGTTCAGCAACGATTGTTTCCCAGGGGTCGTCCAGGCTGGGGGTTATAAATGCACTTGGAGAGAGATAAAGAGATGTAAATCTTGAAACGGGTGGTTGGCATAAAATGAAAATATCAACTCTAACTAGCTTTCAGTTTGCTCTTATTGCAGACTATTGTGCCGCGCTGTTCGGCTTTATCACTTAGAATCATTTATTTTCTGGTTGATTTACTCATCCAAAGCTTAAAGTGGGACAAAACACACGCCGTAATGCTCTAATACTGAATAAACTGCTGGAGCAAAAAAAGGGGAGATGCATAAATACTACCCACACAATTAATAATCTTGAACGCCATCTTGACCGCCATCTTGACCGCCATCTTGACCACCATCTTGTTCGGTCATCTTGATCTGCTTAGACGTTATTTTGGTCAGCCACTTTGAACGCCATCTTGGGCGGCCATCGATAGGAGTGGTTAATGCTCGTTACACGAAAAATCCATCTCAAACTACAATACCAAAATCAGAGCCAAATCCAGTTAATTCAAACTTACGTACCCCATTATTGAATGGGTTTCAGATTACGATATAGGTAAAAGAAAGGTAGGTAATTAAATTAAAAGGCTTAACCCAAAGGAAACGTGTTAACAAAGGTGTCTTATGAAAACAAATTGACCTCAAAAGGGTACAACCATGTTTTATTCACGTAAAGACGCTTAGATAAGCAATTTAGCTTGATGACTCTAGAACTTTCCAATTCAGATATCAACATCTTCCTCGAACATCAGAATTTGTTATTTCAACGACAAAAACAAAAGTGATATTTTGTAAATCGCAATGGTACCACCTACTCCTAATACACTAAGAGTGCATTTATTCAGTGACTCAAATCTAAAGTACATTCAACGAAATAACGGCATCTTATTCGCGTCCAATGCACTCCGTACAGTGGGGTATCATTGGTTAACCAGAACGTAATTACAATCAAGTAAATGAAAAAATGACATATTTATTAACGAGCGAATCAGCTCGATCGTGGTTTTAGACTTTCTGTCCGTCGTCTGTGTACTTAAA